ATGCTGTCGAGTGAAGATAGCTCAGTGGTAAAAACTCTGACTGATGCTAAATCGGTTGGGTTTCGATCCGGGCTTGAGGCATTTGGTTGTCTAGTCGCATTGAGGAACTTGGACATGGAAAATAGAGTAGTGATTTGCATTTCACACTGAGTCTGTATTAAAAATACTGCAAAGTGGAGAATAGGTCTTTCTTCACAAGATCATATCAATGATTCTGGACTCAGTCAGTTAGGATTGTGCATCTCCAGCCTAGATATGGCAGGAATGCTTATTTTTCATCCATTGAGGAACTGCGAAACAGTACTGTCTGCGAATTATATATATATATATAATCTTCTATGGCCGAGTGGTTAGACTGTTCGCATTCTGAACATGAGACACGTGTTCGAATCTCACCATGGTCGATTTATGTTATCGGACTGGAGGGCACCTTTGGAAAGTACCTGAAAACCATACCACGGGTTGATCCAAGCTTGAGCGTGCTGGCCTTGTTCAAATTGTTGATCACGCTAGATAACACGCTCTCTCCCAGAAAATTTAACTAAGTTCTGCTCAGCATAGTTGCAGTATAAACCACGGGTGGGCTCTGTGGATGGTGAGCAAACACAAATGTACCTGAGCGAGCGTCTGCAGTAGGGATTGGCTAGCCGCCCTAACAGACGGGTATCCTCGATTACGAGTGGTCAGATATACAGAAACATACAATCTTCTTGAGAGTTCTGTGAATTTAAAATATTCCCCTACAGCATCCTGAAATTATTAACTTAACCAAAATATTAAAAAAAACATTAACCAAATATTACAATAATAATGCAGTTTTAAAGAAGTGACATGGCAGAAATGAAGAGATTTGAAATTAACTCTTTTCTTTTCATTTAACGGAAGCAGACGCTAAACGCATGAGAGCGTTATCGCCGCCCTCTCTCTCTATATCTGTCTCCATTTCCTACTGAATTTGAAGTTGCGACTCTTATATATCTTTTCTGTATTTCCTCTCGATCAAATCCGTTTAGTTTATTATTTATGAGGTGTTGACAGGGCGTAACGAAAGAACAAACAAAATTATAATATATTAATTGACTTACATAAACACTTAATTGGTAATCTAGGATATTTTTACATACATAAACCCAGCTTCAGCGTAAAATATTGTGATAATAAATGACAAACAATTACTCTTTGGCAATGTATACTCGATGAAGATTTGTTTATTAGACGAAGGTTTTATTTGTCACCACCCCAAGAAATAGAGAACGTTAAATATGAATAAATGTACAAGAAATATTTTAGTAGCTAAAATTGTTTTATTTCGTCAATATAATGTAGACATAACTGCGATGTAAATGTCTTGAAATGAAGAAAAGATAAAATAACTTTTTGTTCCATAAAATATCTTTTTGGTACACTTGGTAAAAAATATCTGCTTATCAACTTCCATGACATTCTTTGATCCAATAATTAGCATTCATCATCAAATCTATTATAGTGTGAGTATAACACACAGAGTAGTACGTATATACATCGTTATCTGGGAATGACTTGATAATTTTAACGCAACTGCAAACAAAACTGCTCTCGATTAATCGCCTGAGAGAAGAATTTCTGACTTTCATCAGCATGGTTGGTACTAGACTCCAGGAGAGTGTCTCGTTGTGCCTTCTCGGGCTAATATTTTCTACTGATATGAATTGGAAATATTATATCAAATCAATTGCTAGGTCTGCTGGTAAGAAGTTTGATTCTCTGTGTCGTGCTAGAGAATTTTTTCTTGCCAGAATCTGTCTTACAATTATACCATTCGTCTATTCTCAGAATATTGTTGCCATATATAGTCTTGTGATCTCGCTATATATTTGGAGATCCTTGATAAAGTCCAAAGAAGAACCTACAATGTTATTAGTCCTGATCTGTCATCTCAGCTTCAATATATAGTCGTCCACAGACAGTTGTAGGTGCATGACCTTCACAGCGATTACATCTCTCTCCCACGTCCCATAAATACTCCATTGTGCTCACGCCGAAAAACGTGATGTCCATACTATTCACCGGAACAGTATGGACTATGCTACGGAAGTCTATTTTAGACTACTTGGGCCTGTTGATGAGGTTCATTAATACTGATGGGAGAATCCATTATTTTGGGGTTACATGGAGTTGGGGTAAAAGGTCACGAAAGAGGGTAACGTAGAGGTCACCGTTAATGAAGTGCTTAGGTCGACTGAACCCAAGTAAAGTGAACAAGCCCACAACGTTACAAAACTACTACGAGTCCGAATTGTGCTTTGTGAGCCAATAAGGTCTATTTCCTATTAAAATCTACATTACTTCTGAACCTACCATCAGACCGGATCATCTGGTACCATGACTCATCGAACCACGTTATATATCGCCAGTCCTCCAGAGCCCTATTTGTGATGTTATGATCTCAGCTACGGTGACGCGTCCAAATTCCTGGATCTTCTGCTCATGCAATCGTTAAACTATCTCGTTGGATCCGTCTCGAGTACCTCCTGCATCGAGTTTGGATGCGATTTGCTTACCACAGACAATTATATCCAGACGTCACTTGTCATGATCGTTAATTTAAATTTACCATCTCAAACTTTATTAGTACTTAATTAATCTTAGTCAATTAATTGTATATGCAAAGGTTTGTTGATGGATTTAATTTTACTATGGGGATGGGGAAATTGGTTATTTGATAAAAAACTCACATGGGTGCATTAATATCTTCTATCCATAATTCACTTGACTTGAAGAGGTTAAGGATGTAGGGTACAGGAAAGCATACACGGAAAAAAAATTTCACAAACTAGAAATACTTGAAAAAAAAGCTGCCTGAATGGAATGTTCTCCTGATATTAGGATTACGGAGGAAATGAGGATGATTTGACTCCATGGAAGTAGCATGCAATGGTGTGTCCTAGCTGTAAAGGTCTGAACAAGTGGAACTAAAGAATAGATCTCATTTGGACATGGAAATATGGTAGTGATTTGCATGTCACACTGAGTCTGTATTAAAAATGCTGCAAAGTGGAGAATAGGTCTTTCTTCACAAGATCATGTCAATGATTCTGGACTCAGTCAGTTAGGATTGTGCAGCTCCAGCCTAGATATTGCAGGAATACTTATTTTTCATCCAATCTGACATAAAAAAAAAACATTGCAAAAGGAGACTGCTACTTCTTGAAGCAATAGAATGACCTGTCTATTCTCGTTTTACCAGCAGGACCGGTTAATATTTGATGCGCTCCCCCCCACCACCATTCTATTAGCTCTCAATTTTGACAAGGTAGTATTTATATAAAATACAATTTTTTGTAAGATAGTTATGTATAGTAACGGATCATATTCAATATAGGTGAACAAGTCAACTAAAAAAAATTGAAAATAATATATCTAAATACAAATTAGAGACATGTCATAATATATCATACCATCTCAGATAAATCAATAATGTTTTGCGGCAATTTTTAACATTAACTTTAGATTTCTCTTGTTAAAAGTTGAAGAATTTTAACACATTCAACATTATGGATAAAACTAGTGAATTTTATATAGTGTTTTTTCGAGAGTTAATATGAGCAAAACAAATTCACAGATTTGAACAAAAATGTCCCCAGAATTACATTAAAATCCGCTAAATTTTTTCATCTTATAATAGTCAATTTTGCTTAGTTTAAGTTGTAACGTATATAAATGTAAGTAGAAAAGGTAGCGAGTGTCAGAAAGCACTTCCCGGCGCCCCCAATTAGGTTTGGGCTCCTTCGGTTTAGGGGTTCTGGTGTAGTACGCACCATCCCTGGTCTTTAGTAACAGATTGTATATATGTGTTGCACTTGGGACCCAATAGACGTTTAAGGCATAAAGTCTCAATTGAAATTGCAACGGTTCATCGTGACCAATAAAAGATCAAAGCCTAATCGGTGATGGGAAAATCAATATTTAGTTATTAGTCTGTAGCTCATAAGAATAAATAACGACAGGTAAAGACAAACTGGCACCTACTGTAGAGCGATTTTTAGGCCATCATTCGTAAAACTGATCCTCATCAGATACCCTATAGGAAAGGTGGAGTAATGGATAGCAGCTCGGATTGAGGAATCGGAGAGCCGAGTTCGAATTCCAGTCGAATCCATTATATTCGCTTACATGCTAATACATCTCCCCTCTATGGGTAAATAGCAAGATAGACCGGCTTTTATAGCCTTTGATGGCAACTGGTCTATCGCAGAAAGAAATGGCAACCTACGGCGGGAAAAAATCTGCCTCGACTGTCATGTATCTTTCGATACGTGATCGCCTAAGCGTGTAGCATAACTGATAGCTATGATCCTTTGTTTTCTAAGTAAATTATCTGCCTGCGAAAATGGTGTCACGAATCTTGAACTCCGATCTCACTGGGTGTTCCCACTTGATTGATCTTTTACCGAAGACTGTATGTTTTGGAAATATCTGATTTCGGCACCTACCGTAGAGCTATAGTTAGTAAGCTAATCTTTTAGATGTTACGAAATAAATGCTCACTATCTCACATAAAAGACGCTCTATCTATCGTTACTTTTCTTTCATTTAAATAGTAAAGACTCGTGAAACTTGGCAAATTCTCAAGCATTGACAAAAAATATATTTCCAGTATATTAATCGGTTTTTATAAGGAGTTTTACATATCAGTATTTTATCGATCAGATCATCACATCTGATCGTGATTATGGAAAAGCCCGTACGTGGTGGAATCCCTGAAAAGAAAAGAAAAATGAACATTGGGAAATTCGATCAAACCCGTTAGACGATTAATTGACCCTGTAATCGATTATTGGTGAGTAATAATAGTTCTGTCAAATTAAGGCTGATTGATCGATACACTCGATAAATCGATTTTCTCTCTGATGACATTCATTCCGTTTTGTATTTGCTTTTCTCTTCTTTTTTTCTCTTTTCGTCTTTCTACAACTTTTTCTTTCTTCCTCCTCCACTCTCCCCCTCTCCTACTCTCCTAGTCTCTTTCTACTTCTCTCTCCCTTTCTCTCTTTATCCATCCTTTATTTCCTTTCTTTCTTCTGTCACTCTCTGTCCTTTTAGCCTTTTTCCCTTCGTTTGTCGACCCATCTGTCGTTTTTCTTCTTTCTTTCTCTCTCTCTCTCTCTCTCTCTCTCTCTTCCTTCCTTCCGTCATTCTCTCTTTCTCTTCTTTCCTCATTTCTTCTACCTCTTTCCATCCCTTTCCTTTTCTTTCTCTCCCTTCTTTCCCCTATTTTCTTTCCATTCCGTTCTTCTTTTCTCTCAACTCTCTCTCTCTCTCTCTCTCTCTCTCTCTCTCTCTCTCTCTCTCTCTCTATCTATCTCTCTCTAGCAATCTTATTTTTTAGCCCTTACAGATTATCAAATGCCAGTCACGCCTTTGAATATGATTGATCTCTTGGTTCGCGGATCAGCGAAGCTCGATATGCATTTATCCGTGTCAGAGTTCGAGCCTGTGATGTCACCGACTCCCAGTCTTTGATCTATGACAGTTACCCACCCTGACCCTTGTTTTCCAAACTCATCAGCAGTTCATGTTGGGTCAGAACAGTTTGACACAGCTACCGATTTTAGCCCCGTTGCCCGCAATAAAAAAAAAAAAATGAGTACAACAATCTCCTCTTTAAAATTATTTGTCACATAAAGACCTGTTGGTTGAATTGATGTTTTGAAGCTTAGCAAGGATTAGCTTCAGAAAACAAAACAAAACTATAATTCAGAATCATTCGCGTTTTTCTTTTGTCCATCTCGTCTCTTTTTTTTTTTGTTTTTTTCTCCCTACTCGTATTATTTAATCAAACATTTATTTTATCATATATGTGTTTACACTCAATGTCAAAAAATGTTGGCCTTGTTTTAGGAATTTTGAAATTGCATTAGTTATATTTAGTAAATGAATAATCTTGGATATTCATCTATACAATTTTACTTCTTAGAAAGAATTCTTTTTTTTTTCAAAAATTAAAAGTAAAATCTGAAATTTTATTTACTATTTATTTATATTTACCTCAATGAGATTAGGTATTTTGAACAGGATTAGAGGTTTATCACTTGATTTCTGCTTAATATTGGATTTCCAGTTTCTTCTAAAGCCTTCCTCAACTTTTGCTTCTAATGGCTCCGCCATAACGCTGAATTTTTATATATGACCGTATTTGACGGCATGTAAGACGCACTTTTTTTAAATAAAAATATCTTTTACAATTTCACTGTGTTTTATATGCTGCATTTAGTTTTAACATTCGAGATAGCAGACCGAAATTAGCTACCTGGCAATCCCTGTTAGCTTAGATTTTAGAGTACCTTCCATATACCTATTGTCAAAATGTTTAAAAGGCTATTATGCAGATTAAAAGTGTTATCATTGATAATATTCATTATATTAATTTCATCATGTTTAATATTAGTACTTTGTTCCACTATAATTTTTATTTCGGTACTTTGTTTTTGTTTTTTATTAGTACTCTGTTTTCACTATAATTTTATGCAATAAATTCAAATGATATATTTGTAAAATATATTTGTTTCATTAAACATTTTACCATCAAAATTTTTGTATCCTAATTATTCCACTAAGTTGTTTACAAGATGCAGGTTGTACAGCTCATATGAAGGAAAATGTTTGACTGAATTTTAATGATAACTGTACTGATAAAATAATTGTTTTACGACAAACAACAGCTGAAAATGAAATGCAATATTTACCACATGTCACATGTTGAAAACGAGCTATTTAAAAGAGGATATATATATATATATATATATATATATATATATATATATATATATATATATATATATAAATATCAAAGGCGACAGAACATAATCATATATATATATATATATGTGTGTTGGCTTCAATGTTATATATATATTTTATTCATCTAAGTCAATATTCAAAGGCGAATATAGCATAACTTAAAACTATATTTTTTCATATATATAATATATATAGGCCTGATATATATATATATATATATATAAACTGAGAGAAAGTCTGAACTGTTCGTGCATTTGTTGATCAATTCAATGTTCACTTTATATTTATTTTTATTATAAAGATTATAATAAAAACATGCTGCAATCTCTGATCAATACTATGATTGTATTTCTTATCCCATGAATATTAAATGATTTTAAGAAAATTTAAAACTATATTTTTTTCGGAAGTTAAGTGTGGGGGGCATATATAAAAAATAGATATATATATCTTATAAACAATTAAATATATATCTACGCTAAAATGAAAAGAGAAAGAAAGGTGGGAACTGTCAGGTAGCATTTACTTTTTAAAATGTGTTTGCCAATTCAAAGTAGACCTAGTGTCTTGAGCACTTTAGTATAGTCTTTTTATTATAAGAGATTATAATAAAAACATGCTGAAATCCATTGACAGGACACAAAGAGTGTTAGTTCAATGTTTCAATACTTGAAGAGGGGGAATTAATGATTGTACATGCATTAGACATGACGTGGAATGGAACAGTAACTGGTGAATTAAATGAGTTTTAAGAAAAATTTAGAAATAGTCCGAATAATGTAAATAGTGTACATAATACCTCATCTCAGAAATATAGAAGGATAATAATTTTTAACACCGGATTTTACCGTCGGCCTTCATTGGTTCATACCAAAACCTGGAAATAAAAAAAATCACCATAATTATTTAATAAATTTGATTTCATTGAATGCATTGCTCCATTTTCGCTTATTTCGTTGAAATCATGGGATTTGATCTTGAGTGGGGGTCTCAAGAAATTAGCTGCTTGATGATGGTGACAAAGCTAATGAGAATCGTTTAAGGCCGGCCACGTTTTTAAAGAAATCAAAGCCTATTATTGAGAATTCAATAATTTCGCCATTGGAAAGATTCGCCAAAATCTTTAGCCCCCCTCGTTCTTCGGCAATATTGGAAAGCTTAATTTGATACTTGTGTTTCGTTAACTTCGTTCGTTACTGAAACTTGCCTTCACCGAAAAGCGAATAGAAAGGCGGGATCTTTCATTATTGAATTGAATTTATTTTCTTCACCTGTTAAAAAGGTTTTATTAGCAGCTACCGTCTGTTGCTTCGTGTTGCTTTTGATCAAATTAATGAGAAACGCTTCTCTTTGTCTCACTTGATGAATAACATAGCAGAACATTCAATAGGGAATAAAGACTAAGAAAACATTCAAGATAGAAAAATAGACGTGCTCGGGCTAACCTAATAACTTTTACCTGCGATTGCTAAAAATTACACTAATGTTCAATTTTTTTTTTTTTTAATTAAGCAAATACAAAGAACGACACATTTTTCTAAATTTAGAAGATTTTTTTATTGTAATTTCAAAAGTGAAATTTTCACATGGAATGGAAAATATCTTGATTTATAACTTAACATCTGATTAGATTTCTTCGCTCCCCCCCACCACACACCTTATTTTCATCGCAAATTTTTAGGTCGAAAGTGGGTCTCTAAAGAATGAGCTTCCGACAAGTTTTTGGTTAGACAAGCTTGAAATCTATAGCCATCGTTAAGAGAGAGATAGAGAGAACAAATCAAAAATGAATAATGAAAATACTTCATGTCAGAATTCAAAACACTAATTGTACCTAGACTTCTAAGAGAGAACAAAGAAATTAAATCAAGATGAAAAATTTCTGGTTTTCTTTTTATTTCTGTCATTAGGTTGTTTTTAGTATTTGTTTCTATTTATTGTAAAGCCACGCTAGAAGACAGGGAATAGATATGTACAAAACAATAGATAGATAGATAGATAGATAGATAGATAGATAGATAGATAGATAGGAAACAATTGACAAATTACGTGTATAAATATGTGAGCACACATATATATATATATATATATATATATATATATATATATATTTATATATATATAAGGATAGATAGATAGATAGATAGATAGATAGATAGATAGATAGATAGATAGATAGGAAACAATTCAAAACTGACGTGTATAATATGTAACCATATATATATATATATATATATATATATATATATGTGTGTGTGTGTGTGTGTGTGTGTGTGTGTGTGTGTGTGTGTGTGTGTGTGTGTACCGGGTGTAGCACTAAAATTGTCCAAATTGTGTAACAGCATAATTATCCTTACCCAAAAATATTTAATATCTAAAACACCACTAAACTAATTGAGTTTCTTTTTTCCAGATTTTCAGATAAGACTTTTAGTTATCACTGTTTTTTGTAAGAATCACTGAAAAGCCCTTTGATTTGTTCAGCTAAAAATAGAGCAGGTTAAAATCGTGTTGTGTCAGGCCCACTGTCTTCCCAACTGAGCAATGGTGCGAGGAAAAAATCATTCAGGCTTTCAGTAATGGTACCAACATTCATACCCTGGCTTCCATCTTTAAAGTCCATTCAAGAACCATCAAGAAAACAGTGAATAAGTTTAAAAAATAGTCTGCAAATCCTTCGTTTTTGAGTTATTAAGTTTAAAGTTTACGAGAGATGCTGTTAAATGTAGGATCCAAGATACAATCCCAAAATACTACTTTTCCAAAACAAGGTCAAATGTTAATATAAACTATGTACAAAAGTTCATCGTTGTACTTCAACACAGCAACTCAACAAATGTTCAAAATGTCGTCTGCTTGCACCCGTCGGATTATTGACTGGCGGACCATTTCAAATATTCCCACACGGTATCGAATAGTATCACAGGCCCCCATGACACGTTGATGAAGCATTTCTGCATTATTAATGCCTGCTGCATAAACCAATTGTTTTAGGTGACCCATGGAGATAAAAATCGAAAGGATTGAGGTCAGGAGAACGTGCAGGCCGTGGTATAGGTCCTCCCCTACATATCCACATTTTCATGCATTTTTATGCTATATTTATGGGTTAAAGTTGTCAATATCATGGATAGGGCGAATGTAAATATAAAGTGTATAAGCATAAAAGAGACTTTTGTCGCCGAGTGTTGACTTCAATGTTCAGTTATATATATATATATATATATATATATATATAAAGAGAGAGAGTTTGTTTAAATAGTCTCAAAACAAAACCCTTCCTAAAAGCTGACCAGACATTAGAATATTTTTGTGATAAAAGCGAATTTATTGCTAAAAGGACAACGCACTTAATCTTATCGTATGCACTGCGCATAGACATTAAAAGACTCAAATAGATAGATAGATAGATAGATAGATAGATAGATAGATATGAACGAACCCGCTTATCCACTTCTATATAGATAAAAAAGGAAAATAAATTGCTTAGAATTTGACGATAGATAAAATCTATTTCTTAGATACTTTGAAGAAATAGATTTTATCTATCGTCAAATTCTAAGCAATTTATTTTCCTTTTTTTATCTA